ACCAAAGCACTATGGAATCGATCACCAAAAGCCAAGAGTCTTTGGTTGATTAAAGTGTTGCAAAGTTATATGGCTTGAATCAAGCAAGTGCACCTGGGGCAGGGACATCTGACGGGGTAATTATGCCACCTACCCCGCAGGTGGTTATCTCACTTGGAATCTTACCAAGACTTCAAGGGGACTCATCTGATGCAAAAGCAAAAGCCTCGTCTGCTGTAAAAGTATAGACTTATGTATCTAACCCTGAGAATAATCCAGATGATTACCATATATCGAATTTTGATGAAGAAGACAAGGCAATGAAAATGGAAGAGAAAATCAAGCAGTTGGATGACCAAATGAATATGGTTAAAGGAGACCACGCTTACTATGGATTTGATGCCTTTGAACTAATTTTAGTCCCAGATTTGGTTCTTCCTCCAAAATTCAAGGCCCCTGAGTTTGAGAAGTTCGATGGGAACAACTATTTGTCAGCCAACATTACCATGTTCTGTTGAAAGATGATATGATACGTAGGAAATGACCAACTCTTGATTCACTGCTTCCAAAAGAGCCTGTCTGGTTTAGTCATCCGGTGGTACAACCAGTTGAACCAGTCTCATATCAAGACTTGGAAGAATCTAGGAAAATTATTCTTGGAATAATAAAAACATGTAAATGATACGAGACCCGATCGAGTTATGCTACAAAGTATGGAGAAGAAGCATAACGAAAGTTTCAGACAATATGCACAGAGATGGAGGGATTTAGCTGTGCAAGTTCATCCACCTTTGAATGAGAACGAAACCAGGAAACTCTTTATGCAAACATTGAAGGCTACTTACTTCAGGTACTTGGTTGTAATCACATGTGGAAATTTTTTTGACATGGTTATGACTAGGAAGATGACAGAAATGGCCATAAAGTAAGGCAAGATTAAAGGAGGAGAGGGCAGCAAGAAACCTCCTATAAAGAAGAGGGACGTAGAGGTCAACAACATCAACACCTACAACAACAAAAAAGGTGTTTCAATTTCTAATCCAAAATCAACTGTAGCTATACCGTCATGTACTTCTAGACAAGATTCAAGGGAACCCAAGAGTGACAAATAAGGGAACATTTCGATCCTATTCCCATGACTTACAAAGAACTTTATTAGCAACTCTTTGACACTCATATAATGTCACCATATCTGGTGGAACCTATGAAACCCCCATACCCCAGGTGGTATGATGAGAATGCTCATTGCGAAGATGATAGCAACTGCTGTTACTACAATTATCAAGGATATGATGTGAAGGATTGCTCGGAGTTTAGAGCTTTAGTCCAGCTCATGATGGATAGGAAGGAGCTGAAATTCTATGAGGAAGTACATGACACTCCAGAAGCTGATCTTTGTGCTACTGGAGATTCATCCGAAAGAGGATACGACATGAGCAGTCATTTATTAATCACCCATAAGATGAAACCAATAGAAAAGGCACCAGCAAAGGTGGTGATCACAACACCCAGACCTTTTCCTTATAAAGATGAAAGACAAGTTTTTTGGAAATACGATTTATAGGTAAGCACTGCAAAAGAATATTCTCAGGAAGTAGGGCAAGCTGTTGGAAGGGGAAGTGGTATTCGTAGGAAATTCATGCATCCCAAAGACAATTGGAGCCATTTAAGGGAGATAAACCAGTTGTAAATAAACCTATTAAAGAAGAGGAAGGAGTGGAATTTCTAAAATTCCTGAAGCATAACGAGTACAGTGTTGTAGAACAACTACACAATTTGCCAGTATGCATTGCAATGCTGTCACTACTATTAAATTCGGAGGTACATAGGAATGCTCTGCTGAAGGCCTTGAATCAGACCTTCGTACCACAAGATATATCAATCAACAAGCTGGATAGATTGGTAAACAACATTCAGTCTAACAATCTTATCTCATTTTCCTATGATGAGATCCCATCCGAAAGAAGATGTTGGGCTAAAACATTTCACATTACAACTCACTGCAAGGGGCATGCCTTTCCAAGTGTGTTAATCAACAACGGGTCTGCTCTAAATGTAATGCCTCTATTAACTCTAAAAATATTACCAATGGATACCTCCCACATGCGAATATGCCAGAGCGTGGTCTGAGCATTTGACGGGACAAAGAGGGAGGTAATTGACAAGAGTGAGGCACCCCTAACCATTGGACCTACCACTTATAATATAGAGTTCTTGGTGATGGAAATTATACCTTCGTACAACTGCCTTTTAGGAAGGCCTTGGATCCATCAAGCTGGAGCAGTACTATCAACACTGCACTAGAAAGTCAAATTTTTCATTGACGGGGCTCTTGTAATCATTAATGCCGAAGAAGATATACTGGCAAGTGTGACCACTGATGCCCCTTACACAGAAGTGAATGATGAGGCTGTAGAGTGTTTGTTCCACTATCTAGAGTTTGTGAATGCAACATTTATGGCTGAAGGAAGTAAAATTCCCAAACATAGGCTCTCCAAATGCACCAATATGCAAATCAAGCAAACTTTGGGAAGATCTGCCAAGATAGGAAGAGGATTAGGAAGTCTTTTGCAAGGAATGATTGACCCCATTTTTCCTATCACAAAGTTAGACCAATTCAGCTTGGTTTCCAGTCTAATTACCTATAGAAGAGGAATGAGATTCAGAAGTGTCGAGAAAGAAGGTTGGAAAGATTGACCGGGAATGAATTTTAGTGGGAACCAATGGTTTTCCCTCCTCTTCATTACACATTTAGATCTGGTGGCTATGTGTTTTAGTCCACCTTACCATATTTGGATATTTCTTTGAAAGACTTGAGTATCAATGCCATAATCACAGAGAATGGTGAAGATACTGATAGATCCAGAATCAACCAATTGCCACCTGGGTTCGTGCTTAAAAACTGGACGGCTGAAGAACTACATGTGGTTTTCAAATTTCTTTAAGAATAATACTCAAACTCTCCCTATTTTCTTATACCCAAGGTAATAGGTGATATTTTATAAGGGTTAATAAATGGGTTTCATTAATATTCAATAAAAAGATGTAGTTTTTTTCCCGACAAACATTTTCTCCTACAATTTATTTTCTTTTGTATTTAGTTTTTCTTCATTCTGTGTGGGATATTTTCCTCTCTCATATACACATTTCTTTCTCCTCCCCTTTTAGGTCCCAAGATATTAATGATGTAGGCAATAATATTTCTGAGCCAGAGGTGGATTTTGAGTAGCTCAGTTATCTAGGGGAAATTGATGAGTGTAACAAAGAAGAAGAGTGTAACTTACTTTCTGAATTATTAAGGATGGTAGAAAGAGAAGACAAACAAATATCGCCACATGAAGAGAAAATCAAAGTTTTGAATTTGGGCACAGAATAGGAAAGAAATGAGGTTAAAATTGGCACAACTCTTTTGGTTGAAGCAAGACAAATATTGATATACTTACTTCAAGAATACAAAGATATGTTTGCATAGTCGTATCAAGACATTCTTGGTCTAGATACGAATATGGTAGTTCACATACTACCTATCAAGCTAGAATACTGACGTGTACAACAAAAGCTAAGGAGAATGAGACCTGAAATGCTCCTTAAAATAAAAGAAGAAGTTAAGAAGCAATTTGATGTTGGCTTTCTTCAGGTGGCCAAGTATCTAGAGTGGGTGGGTAACATAGTGCCAGTTCCAAAGTAGGATGGGAAAGTGTATATGTGTGTCGACTATCGAGACCTTAAAAAAGCAAGTCCTAAAGATAGATTTCCCTTGCCGTACATAGACACTTTGGTGCATAATACAGAAGGAAATGATTTCTTCTCATTCATGGATGGATTCTCAGGATATAACCAGATTAAAATGCATCTTGATGACATGGAAAATACCACATTTGTCACAATGTCGGGAACATTATACTACAAGGTGATGCCTTCGGATTAAAGAATGATGGGGCAACGTACCAAAGAGTTATAGTGACCTTGTTTCATTACATAATGCATAAGGAGATTGATGTTTATGTGGATGACATGATTGTCAAGGAACAAACCAAAGATGAGCATATTGAGATTTTAAGAAAACTTTTCCTGAGATTGAGAAAGTTTTAGTTGAGGTTGAATCCAAACAAGGGTACCTTCAGGGTAATATATGGAAAGTTGCTAGGCTTTATGGTTAGCAAGAAATACATCAAGATTGATCCAGATAAAGTCAAAGCCATCCAAAAATTACCTCCCCCATGAACATAAAAATAAGTTCGAGGTTTTATGGGAATATTGAATTATATAGCGTGATTCATATCTCAGTTGATCGACAAATACGACCAAATTTTCCGCTCTCTTTGAAAAAAAAAATCTGGAACATGGGATGAGGACTGCCACACTGCATTCGAGAAAAAAAAAGAGTATTTATCTCGCACTCATGTCTTAATGTTTCCCATCCCGGCCAAACCATTATTCCTGTATTTTTCCATATTTGAGAATTCAATGAGATGTGTCATGGGCTAACATGAATAGTCTGAAAGGAAAGAAAGAGTCATTTACTACCTGAAAAATAAGTTCACGTATTGCGAAGTTAGATATTCACCCATTGAAAATGTTTGTTGCGCTTTAGTCTGGGTTACACGAAGACTCAAACAATACATGTTGTACCACACTACCTGGTTTATTTTCTGGTTAGATCCATTAAAATACATGATGAGTGTTCCTTCTCTCTCTGAAAGGTTAGCCTGATGGCAGATCCTATTATCTAAATTTGACATCAAATTTGTGAGCCTAAAAGCTATAAAGGGATATGCCATATCTGATTTATTGGCAAGGAGAACTGCTGAAAATTATGAGCCACTGGACTTTGACTTCCCAAATTAAGACTTGATGGCCATATCTCTAAAAGAGGCAAGTACTTCTACATGTGATTCATGGAAAATGCATTTTGACGTTGCATCAAATCCATTAGGACACGACATTGGGGCTATATTGTTCTCACTGAAGGAAAATATTACTCGTTCACTAGTAGATTAAACTTTGATTGCACTAATAACATGGCAGAGTATGAAACTTGTGTTCTGGGGATTCAAGCTGATATTGGACAGAATATAAAGACCTTACGAATTTATGGAGATTCAACCTTAGTGATCTATCAACTCAAAGGGGAGTGGGAGACAAAGGATGTAAAGCTGGTAGAATACAGAAACCTCATATCGGATATACTTGAAGACTTTGATAAAGTCACTTTCCATTACGTGCCTAGAGAAGAAAATCAAATGGCCGACACCTTATTTACCTTGGTAGCAACTTTCAAGGCTGGCAGGGAGTCTGACATGATTCCAATTGACATGTGGTCGTATGAGTACCCGACTCATTGTTATCAAATCAAAGAGGTAAAAGATACCAAACCTTGGTACTACGACATCCTACAATACATTAACAATCAAATCTATCCGGAAGAGACCACCGAAACTAACAAAAGAATGATAAGAAGAATGACATCCAAATATGTTATGGATGGAGAAATCTTATATAAGAAAAGTCATGATCAAGTCTTGTTAACATGTGTATATGCAGAAGAGGCAAAGATGAGCTTGGAAGAAGTACATTACGGAGTTTACGGAACTCATAAGAATGTCCATATGATGTCAAGAAAAAATATGAGATGCGGGTACTTCTGTTCTACATTATAGGGCGATTGCACCAATTACACTAGAAGATGTCATAAGTGCCAAATCTATGGGGATAAAATAAATGTTCCGCTTCACCCTCTTCACGTGATAATGACATTGTGTCCATTTTCTATGTGGGGCATGAATGTCATTGGACAAATCCATCCGAAAGCTTCAAATGGTCATAGGTTCATTCTTATAGTAATTGACTATTTTCCCAAGTGGGTGGAGGTTGCGTCATATGCCAGTGTCACTCAGTCCACTATTTGTAATTTATTGAAAAAAGATATCATATGTTTGTATGGTTTACCCGAAAGAATCATTACCGATAATGCAACAAACCTGAACAACAAGATGATGGATGATGTTTGTGAACAATTTAATATAAAGTATGAAAACTCTAATGCTTATAGACCGAAGATGAATGGAGCGGTACAAGCAACAAACAAAAATATTAAGAAAATAGTGGAGAAAACAACAGAGACATACAAGGATTGGCACGAGAAACTACCTTTTGCTTTATTTGCTTACCGAACTTCCGTACAAACTTCGACTGGGGCAACCCCATTTTCATTGGCATACGAGACAGCGACAATATTGCCCATTGAGGTGGAGATTTTGTCACTTCAGGTTTTGTCAGAAGTTAAACTAGATGATGTGAAATGTGTACAATCTTGATATATTGAACCTAATAGAAGAAAAGAGGTTGAAATCCATTCATCACGGTCAACTCTACCAAAAATGAATGTTCCGAGCATAGAACAAGAAAGTGCACCCAAGTGTATTCCAAGAAGGAGATCTTGTACTGAAAAATGTTTGGCCAATCCAAAAGAATTACAAAGGAAAATGGATGCCAAATTGGGAAGGACCTTATGTCGTTAAGAATGCGTTCTCTGGAAGAGCTCTGATCCTACCTGACATGGATGGGTCGGAACTACCTAATCCCGTTAATTTAGATGTAGTCAAGAAATATTTCACTTAGGATGAAAACCCGAAAAGGTGCCCTAAGTCGAAGCTAAAAAAAGTTTAGAGTGAAAACCCGAAAAGGCGCTCTAATTGCAGAAATAAAAAAGAAGAAAAAAAAATAAGGTGGGTCCAAGATGAAAACCCGCAAAGGGAATCTTGAAACCAAGGATGGATCCAAGTTGAAAACCTAAAAGGGCGATTTGGATAATGATCCTAGTTTCACGTAGGGGAAAAGTCCCAGATCAGGGCAGTAAAGCATCATGACATCCGAGTCTTTTGTAAACTTAATAATTTGGAGAAACCTTTCACTCTCCAGAACGTTGACACATTTTTTAAGTCCACTTGACAAAAGTTGCACTCAAAAGTCATCTAACGGTGTGTCATTTTAAAGGCGCCTGCATTATTGAGATCTAGGGCATCTATCTGTATTTCTTTTATGTATTGTCTTCTCATAATGTTTACCATGTACTTTTTTCCCTTATAAATAAATATGGTTATTTTAACTTCAACTTCATAGCAAAAGATATTGAACTCGAAACGATACAACTTACACAAGATAGGATTTCAACTTCACAATGAATGATATCCAAGTCGAAACCAAATTGAACACAACTTCATGATGATAGAGTCACCCATGATTTGAACTTAACGACGTGGGATATCGTGCCCAATAAATCGACCTAACTGCACGATAACGGGGTTATCCGCAACAAGAAAGAGGTATCTCGTAGCCTAATTTATGACATAGATTAAGGCAAGAAGGTTTATCTGTCAACGAAAACTTTCAAGTTCGTTTCCATTCAGCTCGAAGGCATATCAACTGCATAGTCGTAGCGAGGAACTACTTTTCGGTCGAATTTTCAAATCGAGGCATTTAAACAAAGAAGAAGGCCAATGTTGATTACGATTTGGCAACAAGAAGCCACCTTCCAAATCAAATTTTGAACTATGATTTCAACTTCAAAACGAAGGGTATCATGTTCGAAGACATCTCAAGATTCACTCAACTTTATAAAGAAAGAGTCACTCACAGTACGACTCAACAGCAGGGAGCTGTCCTCTATTTTATTTCGAATATTAACTCCTCAATAGAGGATAGTTGATAAAAGATTCTTCGGCAACATTGAGCTGGATTTCAATCCCAGAAGTCGACAACCCTCAAAGGAACATACTTGTTTCCAAGTCTATATGTACCAAACAAAAATTTGTGTCTTTTTTTCTTTGCCCTATTTTCGTTGCACGATAATGAGCAAAGAGGAGCAGTTGTAGTCACTCATTTTTGCCTGGGGTTTTAGTTTGTATATATATAACGTATATAATATATATTTTTGAAAACATTTTTTGAAAACATATATAATGTATAAGTTTTGAAAACATTTTTTGAAAACTTATATAATACATAGTTTTGAAAACATTTTTTGGAAACGTATATAATATATAGTTTTGAAAACATTTTTGAAAACATATATAATATATAGTTTTGAAAATATTTTTTAAAAAGTATATAATATATAGTTTTTAAAACATTTTTGAAAACATATATAATATATAGTTTTTAAAACATTTTTGAAAACGTATAATATATAGTTTTGAAAACATATATAATATATAGTTTTTAAAAATACTTTTGAAAACATATAATATATAATTTAAAAAATTGATTTTTGAAACATATAATTTTTGAAAACACATTTTATATTATGTAGTTTTTATTATTATAGTTACATGATATTTATTTTGTTTTATTCTTTATTCTTCTATTATTATTTTTGGCCCAAAAGAGTCCAAAACCGGGTCCAACAGAAGCCCAATCGGGTAAAGGGCCTGACCCAACCCTAACACGATTAGGGTTTTATGTCTAGCAAAGAAGCGCCACAAGACTAAGGGCCGTTAGATCTGGCCTTTTGATCCAACAGCCAGGAAGCTTCAGGAACAGCACGTGAAGGCCACGCGCCAATGTGGTTACCATCCGTCAAAGATTCTCGACCAAATGACCTGGGACTAAACCATCCCAGGATGACCGGTCGCACGAACGACCAAACGACCTGAAAATAACGGGAACGAGAGAAATAACCCGTTGGAGGTGGAGACAACAAGCACTGGCGTTGGGGTAGAAATACCCCACCTAATCTGTCAAAAATCATCAATCAGAAAGCATCCAAACAACAAGAATCACAAGTAAAACACCTAGCAAAATACGAGCAACAACATGCAAAATCAAAACCATCCAAACATTATACAAAGAAAAAAATAACAAAGCATATTCGAATATCCATCATAAAAATCAATGTACAAGGCAGAGAGATTCAGCTGCACGAAGGAAAGCACCACCGGTGGCCAGAGCGGTGGTCGGCGTGGCGGGGATTTGTCGGAGTGATGGTCGGCCATAGGCCAATTATGGGAGAGTATAGAGAGAACTTAGAGAAGGGAGCGGGCTCGGTTGGGTGAAATGAGTATATGTTTATTTGTTTTTTTGTGTTTTGGGTAGTATTTATAGGGAGGGCCATTGGGCAATTATGAAATAGTTAAATTATTTTCACAGTCCCTGATATTAATGCGTAATTCATTTTGGTCACCATACACATTTTTGCCTTTGGATTTTTTAATTTATTCAATTTAATCCTCATTTATATTTTTATATTTTTGCAAATTCACCACTTAACATTTATTTCTTTCATTGCTGTCCCCAATTAACTTTAATTTGACCTCCAATTCCTCGTATTTTCTGATTTATCCTTTTAATTTTATTTTATTTAGGCCCTAATTTTAATTTTTTTCTTAATTCTTTTCTAATTATTTTAATATTCATTTTATTATTTTATTTTATTTTTTATTTAACTTTCATGTGGCTTTGTTTTTTAGGACAAATTTAAAATTGGTCAAAGGTAAGTGATTTGAATCAAATCCTTAAATTTTAATTTAACTTGTAATTTCCGCAATTATGACAACCGAGAAATTAAATTAGTACCGAAAGGGCAATACAAGGGTGTTAATCCTTCATTGATTGTAACCGACTCCCGAACCCAACATATTTATAGTAAAACACAGATTAGATAAGATGATAAATTGAGGTGTCAAATCAACCTAATTATTTAAAAAATATATATAAATGATCGATGGCGGCTCTTTCATGTTTACTTAAGTTGAAGCCCGATTCTGAGTCCACCCGAGGGACGGTTACAACAACATGCAATCAGACAATTCAATATTAAACCTAAATAAAATTACTTAATAGGCTTTTAGTTATAAGTAAATCGGTTTTCTAGTTATTTAAGCTGATGTGTTTTTTTTTAGATGTAAATGGAACTTTATATTTCATGGACAATTGACTAATTTTGATTTTATTATTTGCGAATTTTTTTCTTTTTCACTTTGATGTAGAAAAATGATACGGATTAATGGATTACCCATAAAAGCATTTAACCCTCTCTTTGGTTCAACTTTGGATGTTCAAACATTGGGATGATCGTATTGATACTCAAGTAAATTCAAGCAAGCACTCGAGCTTTAAACCAAATTCAATTGGAAATCTGCTCGCTTAAATAATTAGATGCTCAAACGACTCAATTTACATCATGCTAATACGATCAAGATTTATTTGCACCACTACTCTTCAGGGTAGTTCAAATATAAAAAATGGAATATGCTCTACTGATCTTCAAGGTAGGTCAAAGTCAAACAAAATGGGATCTGCTTCACTGCTCTTCAGGGTAGGTCAGATCAAGATAGATTTGCTCCACTTCTCTTTAGGGTATGTAAAATCTAATGGAATATGCATTCCTTCTCTTTAGGGTAAGTCATATTCAAAGAAAAAGGATATGCTCCGCTGCCTTCAAGGTTGGTCAGATCCATATAGATTTGCTCCTCTTCTCTTCAAGGTAGGTCAAATCTAATGGAATTTGCTTCGTTGCTCTTAAGGGTAGGTCAAATCCACTGTACATTAGTTATGCAAATCCAACATTATAACTTTTCATTATATATCTAAGAATTTAAAAATGTCATCATTCAAGAAAATTTTGAATATCAATTTCTCCTATAGAAGTTTATCTCAGATT